AAATTGCAAGTAAATTTAATATATTTTTTATAGGTAGCATTACTAAAATAGTTGATAGCATCTCTACTGAAATAACAGGAAATGTCTGTAACTATAATATATTGTAATGATATCGCACAAATACCATTTTTATTTTTTATTTTAATTAAAGTATTTTTTTTTTATTTTTTTTTTTTAACATTATTTTTTTGATCTCAGGGGTGCTTCAAATTATAATATTAATACTTTTATTTTGTTTAATCTTTTTTATGTAATCTATTTGAATTTTCTTTTAATTTTCTTTTAATTTTATTTCAATTTTATTTCAATTTTATTTTAATTGTATTTTAATTCTATTTTAATGTTATTATAATTTTAATTTTATTTTGTCAATATTCAATAAAATAAAAAATTAAACTTATGAATTGATTATCTTTATACCCTATATATTTATTATTAGATAAACAAATTTTCAAAATCAGCATACAACTTTTAATTATACACAGATTATTAATTCCCAACCTTAAATTACAAATCATAAAAATACCCCGTTATTTACAATCATGAGGATGATACTATACTATATTACTAAATCTACACTATATTCATTCATTCTTCATTCTCACTAACTATACTACATACTAAAAATTAAAGACTACAAAATTTACTACCAATGTCTTTTCTAGCACAATTATTACTTGATCTAATCGAAAATTAGTTCATAAAAGGTACTCACTATTGATGTAAATATCTATTTCTTTTACTGTCTTCGCCTTATCTGTCCTCTATTGAGTTTTTTCGATGTATGTCTCCCTGGAAAACCATTACCAATGTTTTCCCACAACCATTTTTATTCCATATAACTTACAACTTTTAATTATATTCACATGTTTGGTTAAAAAAATTTGTTTATCCAATATAACGTTATATTATCAGTATTTCAATTCTTCTATCATATATTTTAAAATAATGTACTATTACAAAAAAAAAATTTTGACATTTTTTTTTCCTAATTTCAAAATTGACAATCTATCATCTTCCAACCTAGAAACCCAATCCAGTCTACCTCCTTCACAAAGTCTCCTTCACTTATGACTTTCAATTTTACTATACAGGGTTATCTTCCCACATTATTTTATTTATTCTTATTATTATTATTATTACTATTATATTATAGTTATTATTATTAGTAATGTTATTATTTTTAGTTTTATTATATTTTAATATAAGGTGTTATCATTTCAATATATACTCAATTTTCAAATTTTCGGTTGTTGTCATTGAGTGAATTGAGAGTAATGTACTATTTATGAAAAATTTAATTCCAAAATGTTGAAAGAAGTATTTGAAACGTGTGGTCATGTTATCTTAAATCTAATTAATACTTCTCTTCAGACTGCAACAGTACCAGATTCACTAAAAATAAGTACAATAGTTCCAATTCCTAAAGTAAGTAATACAAAAAATGCTTCGAAATTCCGACCTATAAATACTTTGCCACTTATAGAAAAAGTGCTTGAATCAGTTGTATATGAACAAACTCTTCAACATATTGAACACAATTATATTTTATTTATTATTGGATTCCGCAAAAAAAAACTCTTGTGAAGCAGCTCTGCAACTCTCCTTATGTAAATTTAAAACGGATGTAGACAATAATAACTATGTAGTAGCAGTTTTTCTAGACTTAAAGAGAGCAATTAATTTTTTAGACTTAAATATTATTAAAAATAATAAAGGCCATAGTTTTGGGATATTTCATAAGCCATCACATACGGATATTACAATAAATAATAGTTCATCTCATCCATACAAACAAAAGCTGGCAGCATACAACAGTATGATCCATAGATTAGTTAATATTCCCCTTACCAAAGAGAACTTCACAAAAGAATTAAATATCATTAAACAAATCGCAGTAAATAATAATTTTAATTCAAAGTTAGTAGACAACATTTTAGAGAAAAAACTTTTTAAACAGGCTATTCAACAATTTTATCCCATAATTAAAGATCCAAATTGCAGATATAAGAGTCTTACATATATAGGAGCTCCTAGTGAAAAGGTATCATCATATTTAAAAAACCAAAATATTAACGTAGCTTTTAAAACCAATAATACGCTTGGGAAGTATATTAAAAACAATAAGGGTAAAATTAATCCTAATAATAAATCGGGGGTATATAAATTAAATTGTGGTAGTTGTCCAAAATTGTATATTGGTCAAACAGGCCGTACTTTCAAAAAACGCTATTCCGAACATTATAATAGCTATACAAAAAACAAAAATAATTCTACTTACTCAAATCATATTTTAGCTGAAAATCATTCTTTTACAGACAACTTTGAAATTTTACATGTAGAAAATAAGAGCCTTAAATTAAACCATTTAGAAACACTTGAAATAAATAGATTTAAAAATTCAGATAACTTACTAAATGATCAATTAGATATTAATAATTCACCCTTATTAAACCTCTTTCCCAGTTTTCTGTGAGATAATCCCGGTAATGGCCTATCTTATTGTTATTTGATGGATATTATAATTACCTAAGTACCCTTATTTACTTTAAATAGTTAGTTTATTTTGTAATGTTATTGATGTTTTCTTAAGTACTTTGTTTTGTTAAATTATTTTGTATATATATTGGATACCGAATTGTAAATAGTCCAATTATGAGGTTGGAAATAGCAAAATTGGCGATATTCTTGGGGAACAAACCTGCCACACAGGTCCCACACACACGCGCACAAAAGTTAGGAATTAGCTAGCTAGGTTACTTTTGTAATCAGGGCAGACCACCCTGAAAAGGAGGATAACTCCTATAGCAGGGAAATAGGAAAACAATATGTCCTAGAAAATGTAAAACACTTAAGATTTCCACTAATAAATCAAAAAAAAAAAAAAAGTAAATAGTCACATTTGAAAAAGAAGTTGTACTTCGAAACATATGTCATGTTAGTGTTTGTTTAAAAATTTTTATTTTTAAAATAAAAGTATGAAAATCTACCAAATTTGGTTTTACTCTTTCAAAATTAAATGGATTTTCATCAAGTAAAGGCCGAAACAATAAATAATTTTAAAGAGAGCATTTGAAACAATACATCGCAATATTATCTTAAATAAACTTACTGGATATAGCATTAATGGTTGTGTTTTGAATTGGTTTACTAATTACTTATTTGGAAGAAAACAAAGAGTAAAATAATAATAATATATCTGCTGAAAAGGATATTAACATTGATGTACCCCAAGGTAGCGTTCTGGGGCCACTTTTATTTATCTTGTATATAAATGATTTAAACCTCTTTATTGATTGTGATTTTATAAATATATTATATAAATGTTCCGCCTTTGTCCAAAATTTATTAATTTCACCTCAGGCCGAAATAAACCTTAAGTTTAAAATTTAATGTTTTTTTCTTTATCCGTTTTTGAGTTTTCTTCAAAATTCGAAATTTACACATTTTCTCAAATATCTCAAATACGGTCCATTTTAGAGAAATTATGTATAGAATAAAAATTATAGAGAATTATATTACAAACAACTTTTGTTTGAACAATTTTTATAAAAAAATATTTTTTTTACATTTTGTCAAATTTCTCGAATACGGACCATTTTAGGAAAATTTTGTATAGAACAAAAATTATAAATAATTATATGATAAGTAACTTTTATTTGAAGAATTTTCTTCCCCAAACGTAAATAATACATATATTCCATAAAATATAAAAATGACTACCTATAAAGTACCCCCCCCCCCCCAGATGTTCCGACTCTACCCACAATCTAATCAGTTCATTAGACGCTGGAATAAAGCTTAAGTTTAAAATTTGGTGTTTTTCTGTGTATCGGTATCGGGGTGTATCGGTTCATGAGTTATACGACCTACAGACACACACACACACACACACACACACACACACACACACACACACACACACACACACACACACACACACACACACACACACACACACACACACACACACACACACACACACACACACACACACACACACACACACACAGACACACAGACACACAGACACACAGACACACAGACACACAGACACACAGACACACAGACACACAGACACACAGACACACAGACACACAGACACACAGACACACAGACACACAGACACACAGACACACAGACACACACACACACACACACACACACACACACACACACACACACACACACACACACACACACACACAAAATTTTATTTGATTGTATTAATATTATATATATTTTGTATTTTTTAGACTTTTGTATTTGGAACTTTTATTATATATTTATTTTTTTTATATATTTTGGACTTTAATTGTTTTTCTGTTTTGTTCAGTCATAAATTGTAATTTTTTTTCTGATTTTTGTATTTTGAATTTTGAATTTGAGTTGTTGTTTTGTAACAAAAAAAAAAATTGTTTGTATATTAGGGTTACCTATTTCAATAAATATATTTTCATTTTCCTAAAAACTCGAACATTATTTCCAGATATTTCTTCCTGAAGCTGTGTGGTTGACGGTTATCCCAAGATACCTATTTCGACAAAAAATATTTTTTTAACCGGCACCGGGAGAGAATGATCCAAATATAACAACATTTCTGTTAGTTTCAATGTCCGGTTACTAGTCCCTAATTATAGCTTTTGGAACGAATATTCAACAATACCTGTATCTCACTTGATCTAGTAAAACGAGCTATTTAATGAAAATAAGCGTAGGTCAGTGACATTGTCTTAGGATTGATACAAAAATTATTAGTGTTACTTTTAGCCAATTTTATCACGTGGGATACGGATATTGTTAAACACTCTGTAGATAGGTGCGAAAAATGAAGCTATATTTTATTTGTATCATCTGATCGAAGCACTACATACTTCAAAACCAGGTGTGTGAAATTCACATAACCTCTCTTTATAAAATAAAATAAATGTTGCATATTTATCGAATTTTTGTTTTTAACTCCTTTCATCGCATTCTGTTATAATAAAACAATCACTTACCAACTATTCATGCATACATCAAGCTCATCATCCACAAATCTGTTCTAATAATAAATACGTCTCAAATACGAATGTATTGATGGATGTAATATAACATGAGAGTAAGTTACTGTAAAAGCCTTAAAGCTAATAAACAGTAGGTAAAATTTTTAAACAACACAACACTTAAATTGATAAATAATATGCCAATCTATTTTAATAAGAACGTTCGTTCGCTAATACTTAATAGGCATGACAAACAGCTGACTACAATTACTGTGATAGAAAGACGCTTGCGTCGCGGCGCAAACGCTGCCATGGGCGGGGCACGGTGTAGACACTAGAGGTTTCGTTTTTATTAATATTCCACTTAAATAATTAAAGCCTAGTTTAATGTATTGCATGGGAAAATAAATTTATCAAGATAAAAAATATTCAGCATATAAAACTATTCAAATTAACTACAAGCGATACTATACATATACAGGGTGTATCAAAAAGATTGGTCATAAATGATACCACATGTTTAATCAAAAATAGGTCGATTGAACCTTACTTACCTAAATATAAAATTGCACATACAAAAAGTTAAAAATTTAAATGAATTTTTTAAAGTTGCTCTTAAACCGTTTAACATTTTTTCATGAAATTTTATATGGCGTGTTAGAATACAGTGAGTAATAAAACCAATGTAGAGGATATATTTTTTTCTCGTTTTTTGTAAGTTTTTCTAGGGGGTCATCACTCTTTTTGGTATAAAATTTGATCGAAAATGGAACGCCACTGGAATTTAACATCGATTTTTAAACTTTTTTGTCTTTTAGTATTTGTTTGTAAAATGTTTGATTTAAACGATACAGCCACTTATTTGTTGAAATTTTTCAATGTAAATTCTACGTTTGCAAAAATATCAATATCAGCATCAAAATAAAATAATTTAATTTAACAGGTGTTAAAAATGGCCTCCTCCTTCCTGCATACACATAATATACATTTTAACAATAAATTTTATTACAAACGGAACACTACACGACACTACAATGTTTTTTTTTTTTTTTTAAAAGTAAAAGGTTCTCAAGTATTACATTTTTATCAGATTTAATCTTTCATGTACTATGTTTTAAGTAAATTTTTGTCAGAGTAAAAATACATATTGGTTAATTATTTCCTACCCAATTGTTTGTTATTATTATCAGTCTTGACATGAAGTTATTGTGGACAAAAGTTTTGCTTTTTACCATTTGATTAAAAATGAATAATTACAGTTTTTCTGAAACTAATATTATGGAGATAACGATTTTAAAAACATAATATTTTTTTCATTTCGCAATTACGTGAATGTCAAGGGAATGATGCGGTAACTGAAAAATACCCAAATAGAAATGTAGGGCATAGGCACTTTTCAGAAACGTGCGTGGTAATAATGATCATCCAAAAAACCGTGTTAAATATGAGGCATAACTATTTGGGAGGGTCAGTATTTCTTCCCAATAAACGGAGAAAATTATTTATGATTTTTATAAAACGATTTGCCAATCTATTTAGAAGATGAACCAGTAGATATTAGAAAAAGTAAGTGGTTTATGCAAATATCGTGTCACCATTATTTTAGTAGTTAATTTCTTCTTAATTATATGTACAATAAAATTTTTATTATAATGAGACAATATCAATAAAAATAGTTGTTTATTATACAAGGGAAAAAGTATTAGGTAAAGTAATATTTTTCCCATGTATAATACAATATTCTAAAATATCTACCTTTACTTATGTGTATATATATCAGGAAAAAAAGTCCTCACTTTTTTCCGGGAAACGGGGAAAAAGTAATTTTATAAAAAGTTACATTTTGTTGTCTGACAAGAGAGATAAAATGTCAAACTGTTTTCTTGTCACAGAAAAAATACTTTTTAAATGATGCATCACTGGAGTCAACCACATTTGCTTCTCACTATATGAGATAAAACATTCTTTATTTTTTTTTATGATAATGTTACTTTAAACGGATCAAAGCTGAATAGTTATATGAGTATCGCAGCCATGTGTGTTACAAAGGCCCAATTAATAGAGGCTGTTTATTCCGCCTAACCCTGTATTTTGACTCATTAATTAAATTCCATAATTGCATAATTAACTGTATTCTATATAAACAAATCTGGAATAGATAAATTAAATACTTTGTATATAATTTATTTATAAACATCACTTTATAAATAAACTATCGTTTATCAAATTGTTGAATGAAACGTTTACCATGTTTTGATAAATATATGCATGCACTAAGAAAATCTGGTCGAATATAATATAAAAAATATGTATATCGCTTTCATATACATCAGAGAGAAAATTAAAAATTAAAATACAAATATGAACTGTGGACTTATTTTCATTATATTAAGAATTCTTATATGGATAACCCTCTAAAAACACTTAGCCTTGAATATCGCAGCTATATGAAAAATAAATACACATGATAGATGCATGCAAAAAAGTATTAGCAATTATCTTGTGAAATTATCGAAATAAATATTCTTTTCTTCAATTATTTCTTTCCTATTGTTATTTTGTGAAATTATTGAAATATGTTTTTTTTCCATTTTGTTTTTCATACTAATTATTTCAGGGCTAGATATAAATTAAAATATATTTTTATTTCAAGCAGAAAATCCAGAATCGGCAATCAACATGTTTTCTAACAACTATTTCCAACAAAATGGACCTCGTCCAGATTTGCTATTTAAAATATCCAAACAATTAGAAAGGTAAACCCAGTAACATTGTGTTACAAAATATTTATAAAAATTGTAGACATAAAGTAACAGCTACAATTTAAAAAACCTATTTTGACACACATTTTTTATGAAACGCATGGTGCAAACTTTAAAAAAAATTGAAGCATATTCAACAGAAAATGAAGGATTATTAACTGATCCTATTTTATGTTATGTTGAGAATGGGGTGTTAATACACTTCGACTTAAAAGATCTATTGTGCCCCTTTCTGTCGCCAATGCACTAAGGAAATGTCTCAATGCCTATAATGACCCTTCCAATCCTATTTTCTTAAGGAAGTGTAGGATTTGAAGTGGCTTTAACTTAGGTAAATCTCCCTCTTCTATTTGATATCCTCCTAGATATAGTGCTCTTGGAGTGCTACACATTCCGTTAGGATGTGAATGGAGGTTTCGTCCTCCTCCTTCTTACAGAATCTGCACTCACTATAGGTGTCTTTTTAGTCGGTAATGCCCGGTAAGGATCCCTGTTACAATACGTAGCCTGTTCTTGCTCAGGCAGATGCAGGCTTCCAATCTTTTCTGGTTATATTCACTCAGAAGTATGTCTCAGCCCCAAGAGATTGTTCCAATTATCGGATCTTCTACTGCCCTATTCTTTTTTAATCTCTCCCAATATTAAGTTACTGCTGATACCACAGAACGGCTCAGGTCCTACAAAGGATGTTTGAGCCCTTTTCCTTGCAAGACTATTAGCAATCTCGTTATCCTGTACCCCGTTATGTTCCGGAACCCAAGTGAGTGTAACTCTATTTTTTTCATTAAATTTGTTCTAGGCATCTCCAGACCATTTTTGAGCTGATTACGTGAGAGTTCAGCGCTTTGATGACTGCTTGACTATCGGACTTAATGATAATCTCTTGTCTATGATAGTTTCTCTCGATGTTAAACTGGATACATTTCTCGATGGAGTGAATTTCCGCCTGGAAGATGCTTGGATATTTTCCCAAGCTTTCGGAGTGCTTGGTTCTCGGCCCATACACTCCTATTACAGTTCCTTCTATGGTTTTGGAACCGTCCGTATACCACTGAATAGCACGTCTTTAGGTTGCAAGCGCAATGGATTCTTGGCTCCATTCTTTCTTGCTCTGTGGTTTTGAAGTTTTTCACAAAACTGCTTCTTTAGCATTTCATCCTGGGACATGTCCCAGGTATCTTTAGTCCTGAAGCAAGTAGACTTTCGTCTGATTACTCCGTTTCTGATCATTCTATATCGTGTCCTTTTTTCCACATTCTCTATCATCAAATGTAGAGGGGAGGTTCTCATTGCACCAATAATACAAACACAGGCTAGTCTTTGTACATTTGAGATATTAGCTCTCGTAGTAGCTAAACTAGTTCTGTTACTCCAGGCTATAGCCCCGTAAGTGATGATTGGTCTCACTATTTCAGTATACATCCATCGCAGTATGTTTGGGTTACATCTCCATCATTTACCTGCAATGTGGCATTATTTAATACTTCCTTCTCATGTGTGTTCCAGAGAAGTTTGTTGTCTAGGGTTAGGCCTAGATATTTGACTTCATTTAGTATGGATGATAATGCATAGTTAGCTAAATGACGTCGTTCTAAATTCAACTAGTCATTTTAATCAACATTCAAGTGTTATTTGTCTCCTAAATAGTAATATAGGTTGTTGTTACCAACTCTTTTTGTTATATCAACTGTATTTTGTGGTTTGCCATAAACAGCAAAATTAGTATAACCAACAAATTATTATGGTTTACTAATAACTAGAGTGACTATTTCCTTAGGCTAGAATAAGTGTAAGAATAAAATTTAGTTTCCTATACTAATTTTTCTCTTAAGGCAATTTTCACTAACTTTTCTTGTAACAGAGACTAAATTATTAGTATACCATACTAAGTAATTTTTTAGTGTGTGTAAATTTAGACAAGACCAAATATATATCTTTCAGCTGCAACACTAGTTGTCTCTCCAAATTTAATCACCTTGACATTTTCACAAATGAAAATATTCTTGCGTGGAGTTATCTACAGTGGGAATAGTATAATTATGTATAATGCAAAAAACTACAGCATATCATATAAGTTAACTTTTTATTTCCATTTGGCTGTTTAGCTACTTTAATGCAAACGCTTAAGATTATACAAAAAAGATTTTTAAAACGTACGTTGTAGAAAGAATATATAACTTAAGCGACCTATTATACGCCGAAATCATGGATCTTAGGCAACTATTCTTCTACTACACGTATCAAAAATACCACTTTAATACTAAGCATGCTAACTTACCTTCTAACACTTGACGAATTACCTGAAACAATAAAAACAAATCAATATAAAATTAAAATGTAAAAAGCACATAAAACAATTATTTTCCTCTCATTTTCAAAGCTAGTTATCGAGAATTTGAGAAGCCTCGATGATTCTACCCCTAAGGACTATCAGAATATTTAACCAGTTGCCAAAACCGCTCGACTATGCTAACAGAG